ATTTATTTTGCAAACAGAACTGAAAAATAAAACGTACTACAGAAGGATGATTTTTAGAAGTCCCAGGGGGCCGGCCCCATGGCATAGTGGTTAAGTGCACGCATTCCGCTGCTGGCAGCCGAGGGTTTGGATCCTGGGTGCACACTGACACACTGCTTGTCAGGCCATGCTGTGGTGGGGTCCCATATAAAGTGGAGGAAGATGGGCACAGATGTTAGCTCAGGGCCAGTCTTCCTCAGCAAAAAAGAGGAGGATTGGTGTGGATGTTAGCTCAGGGCTGACCCTCCTCACACACACACAAACACACTAAATAAATAAATAAATAAATTTAGAAGTCCCAGAAAATTCTCCACTACACACATTGTAGCCAATCTTAACATTAGTTTGCCCACACTATGTATAATTCAAGAAAAAACCAAAGAACTAACTATGGTCCCAGAATCCCTGTGGGGAAAGATTCCATGGACAGAGCCCAACAACTGGAGCACAAGCCAAGAATCCAGATGATGCATCCACGTCTTCACCTACACCTCCTCAATACCCCTAGAGGCGAAGCCACAAGAGGCCGTGGGCCAACTGCAACTAGCCAAATAGAGAAGGGACTAGTAATTCCTCGTACCAGTCCCTGCAATCACCTAATGTTACCTGTTTTAAAAAAGCCTAATGGTAGAGGATATGGATTTGTCCAAGATCTGTGAAAAATAACAAAATAATTATACCCGTTTTGCTGTAGTGCCTAACCCAAATACCATCCTCTCTTTGTCCCACCTGAAACCAAATTCTTTGTAGGAACAGATTAATGCTCAGGTTTCTTTAGTGGCCCATTCTATAAAGCTGGTCAATTTACTTGCCTTCACCTAGTAAAATCAACAATTCACCCAGAAAGTTATGTCTGGGATTCACTGAAGTTCCATCCCACTTCTCTCAGGTCTTAATCCCAGATCTTAAGGATACATGGAGCCCTTGTGGGGTCCCTCTGACCCAACAGGTACACAACTTCCTCTTATGTTCCATTAATCTGGAAAACTCTAAGGCTATGTTTTCTCCTCACTGAGCTAGCTAAAAATGGACATGAGCTTCTAAGGAAACATTCCAATTCCACAGAACAACAGTTCATCATCTAGGCCATACTCTGTCAAGTGAAGGAAGCGCATTATCTACGGAAAGATTACAAAGTATCCAAAATTATCCAAGACCAACCACTGAAACACAATTAAAAGAATTTCTGTGATTAACTGGATACTGTAGATAATAAATACCAAATTTTTCTGAATTAGCAAGACTTCCATAAGACTGGACTAAATCAAACATGCCCATGGAACAAAGAAACCAAAGAAGCCTTCAGTGATCTCAAAATATCTCTCAACAATTACCTGTAATATCCCAGATTATCATAAATCTTGCTGTGTGCTAAAACTGAAAATCAGCTCTCTACAAGCCAACCTTGCCTTTGAGGAGGTGCAGTGACAGTGATGAGGATCTAGACAGTCTCTAATGACCTCTCCTAGAGCTCAAAGAACCAACCACCTCCAACAACAACAAAGACACACATACACACACACACGCACACACACACAGAAAGAGGGACTGCTCTGAAGACCTAGGAAAAAGTAGCCACCAGAAGGTAAAGTGGTGCAGCCGCTGTGGAAAACAGCCTGGCAGTTCCTCAAAAAGTTAAACACCACATGACCCAGCCATTCCAGTCCTAGCTATATGCCCAAGAGAACCAAACACAGACGTTCACACAGAAACTTGTACACAAATGTTCATAGCAGCATTATCGGTAATAGCCAAAACGTGGAAACCACCCAAATGCCTGTCCACTGACTCTTCACTGTAGACCTGGACACAAGACCACCTATAGGTCAAGGTACAGAACTGGCACCTTATTCTTCCACATGCAGAGCCACACAAGTTTAGGGCCAAGGCAGACCTTAATCATCATCTGGGGTCTAAGACTCTTTTCTCAGAAGATGAAACTGAGGGTCACAGACACAAGAACACAGGGATGGTCAGTGGCAGAAGCAGAGCTGGACACTGGGCCTCGATTCCCACCCCATCTTCTTTCCCACACACCACACTGCTTCCCTGTGTTAGTGGTAGTGTGTGGAAGAGGGGAATGGGAAGCAGAAGAATTAGGGGGCAGGAGAAGTGACAGTCACCAACACAAGGGTGCTCTGCCATCAACTCTGTGGCTCTATTACATCCATGAAAGATAAGCTGATCCAGTCCTGCCCATAAATGATCAATAATCAAAAAGTAATTTTGATTCTGTAATCATTATCTAATATTGTTTGAATGAATAAACTCAGAATTAAGAGGCAAGGAGTACAATTATGACTTTCAAATAATCAAAAAGCAGAAACAGTGGTTAGAAAACTAAGTTCTCCACTTGCAAGCTAAGCAGGTTAATCTTCACAGGACTGTGATACAATCTGTCCCCTTCCCTATGTTCTAGATTTGTCCTCTCATGAAAGTCATTGAAAACAATCATATCCCCCATGTTGAACAGCACCTTGGGTTACAATGTGCTATCACCTACCACAGTTCAGGAGAATATTCACAACAATGTGTAAGGTAATTAGAGCAGGTATTACTATTCCACTTTGCAGGTAAGGAAAATGAAGTCCACAGAATTTACATCCTGGGGAATGGACTAGCTGAGCCTAAAAAATCCAGACCCTCTGCACTATACTAACCTATTATTAAGAACAGTGAGTATGGGTGAAGAAGAAATTTAACAATTTCAACATTTAAACAAATCCTTGACTTCCAGTTTTTGCTTAGGATACAGTAAACTGGAAAGAGCTACACCCTCCATTCTTTAAAAGGTGGGGGAGATAATTCACAAAATCACAGCTTATCTTGAACACACCACAAAGCTGAGGCCAGGGATCAATGAACTATTACAAAAAATAAGAAAAGGCAGGTGTTCCAAGGAGAGATGTGAGGCAAGCACTTGCTTACCTGGAGCAGACGCTGGATGCCATATACACCAGCAAGAAAAATTCAGCTAAAAGTTTTAACAAAGGGCCAGATCAGCAGTTGCCTGGGGCTGACGATGGGCTGAGGGGTTGACTACAAAAGAAAGGGGTGGGGAAGATGTGGGGGAGATGGGGGAGGTAATGGAACTGTTCCTAATCCTAGTGGTTACATGACTACATAGATTTGTCAAAACTTGCAGAACTGTAAAAAGGTGAGGAGAAAAAACTGTAATGGATGAGTTTACTGTATGTAAATTTAAAATAAGAATCCTTGCTTTAGAAGGCAGAAGAGGGCCGGCCCCGTGGCTTGGTGGTTGAGTGCGCGCGCACCGCTACTGGCGGCCCAGGTTCGGATCCCAGGCGCGCACCGACGCGCCGCTTCTCCGGCCACGCTGAGGCCACGTCCCACATGCAGCAGCTGGTGGGATGTGCAGCTATGACGTGCAGCTATCTGCTGGGGTTTTGGGGAGAAAATGGGGGAAGGACTGGCAGTGGATGTTGGCTCAGGGCTGGTCTTCCTCTTCAAAAGGAGGAGGATTGGCATGGATGTTAGCTCAGGGTTGATCTTCCTCACAAAAAAAAAAAAAAAAGAAGAAGGCAGAAGATCTATTTAACAGCTAACCCAAGGTCTCTGCTATACTGCCTACTCCTCAGAGAACAGTGTCTCGGTATTTGAGATGCATAAGAGCCCAAGACCTCTGCAAAGCAGCACTTTAATAAAACACCGCCATAGCATGTAATCTTCCCAGTAAAATTCATCAATGTATAAGTAAAAACCTAAGTGCCCACTTTCCCACTCTTCGTCAGAGTTCCTATGTGAGCCACTCCAAACAGGGAAAAACAAAGCCAAGTTGAGCTTGTATGCTGGGCAACAGGCTGGTTCACCCGTTGGCCAACTGCCTCACCGCTGCACACCAGCCGGCAATTCAAGCAGTTCAAATTCACAACTCAGCAGAATGACAAATCACATACGTCATAGACCTTTGGGGTCATTTCCAAATAGCAGAAAATCTAATCATCAAATCTGCAAATGCCTTCTGTTAAAAGAAGACCTTAAAACACTTTTAAAAGGTAGAGCAATGCAAGCCTCCTCCCACTGAAGGTGCTATGAATGGAAGTATATAACGCTGTCCCATGGTCGATTAAAGTGCTGGGCTAAATCAAGATTTCCCTAGAGACCATCTGAATCTCAACATCTACCCCAGAAGAAGTATCACCAATTTTTAAGGGATTATGAAGAAATTGTCTACACAGGATCTATTTCATTAGGATTTCAGTAGATGAAGGATAACACAATGAGGAAAAATAAAATTTCCTCTCTCTTTAATAGCAGAGAATTACCCTAAAAGTAGCATGGAAACAGCAGAGATGAAAAAGCAACATAACAAAATAAGAGTCACAGCGATATACTGAACTATTTCACTGACGTCAGAACAAACGGCCTTAACACTCACTAGCACAGACCACCTCCTACTACACTAAGATACTAGTTATTATTTAATCATTTGGCTTTATCTTCTACAGTAGTTTTGCCATAGAATTCTATCATAACTATATCTATAATCTTTGGGAGAAACTTACTGAAGAGACAATTTAGGTTTCTGGAATTCTTTAACCGTTGTACTAAAACAACAGTAAGGGCTTAGCTTAAGCTCAGCTTCAGGCTTTTACTTCAGCTAGACATTAGTAAAATGATGACAACGCCAAACAAGTAGCTAAACCTACAGTTTTGTTTTGACTTCTGCTGACGTACAGAATGAAGAGAACACGCAACTCATCCTGTTTCCTAAGATCCATCGTTCTTACTCACCGATAGTTATCAGAATCACCTGGGGTGGTGTTCCCCAACACACACACCTGGTACCTATCCCAGATCTACTGAATCAGATTCTCCAGAGTAAGAACCACATGACATTTGAAAAAGTTCCTGACAGATTTATGCACACACACCTCGACTGTAATCACTGCTCCAGAACACACTTCCAACAGTCACTACGTTTGAAAAGAACTACTTACTCGTTACGATTCCAGCCAAAGCAAAAACAAACTGATTTTCATTAGAATCCAGCTCCTTGACATCCCCATCCAGTGACTTCACAAAACTCTCCATTGTTTGACCAGTGATGTTGAAAAACTTCAAAGCTTTATCCTGAAAGTTTGAAAATGAAAATCACACCCTTTCATAGATAATAGTATGAAAACATTTTAAAAGTGCAGGACACAGAAGAAAGACTGATTTTAATCACAGAAGCAATATCTAAAACTCTGTTCCACCATTAAAAGTTCCCATTAAGAAGTTCAGAAAAAAGAAGTTTGGGGCATGTATAAAAATTACCCTGAAGACTGATGGAAAGAGTAAAATAAAAAAATATATATGGGAAACAGCTCAAATTTACACACTGATGGAAGTATTGGGATGAATTCACCCAAAAATATACTAGAAATACACTAGAAAAATATGTTCTCTGTTTGTTCTAGGCATGAAACCAGAGGTTTTCAAACCTTGGGCAGAACTGCTTTTCAAATAAAATCTTAACTGAAATCTCAACATGTAAAAGAGATAAAGACAGTGAACAGCATCATCTGGCAGTTTAAATCTTCATTACGTGGCAAAAAGTATTTCCAAGTTTGCAGAACCTTCGAAGCACTTCCTCAGGGGTTCTAGGGTTCTAGGGAATAATTTAAAAAACAATGCATTTACAAATGGCACAAGGGAACTTCATGCGGATGATATAAATGTTCTAAGACTAGATTGTGGTGATAATTACAGACTCTGAAAATTAGCTAAAAACCACTAAATTATACACTTACAAACAGGTGAATTTTCTGGTATGTAAATTATACCTCAATAAGCTCAATAAATTTTAAAATACGTTTAGTCTCTCCATCTAATGTCACACAATTTTTATTTCTATAAGTGATGAGTAATTTATTACTGGCCTTCTGCCGAACATCCCCCTCTCAACCTTGATTCCCATTCACCACCACGGCGTTCTCCCAGAGTCAAACCATCATCCTCCTTGGTTCCTCTCGTCCTCTCAGCTGTCAAGTCCAACATCACAACACCTGCCCCAACCACCACGGCTCTCCTCCCTTCCCATCCCCCTACTACAGCAGGGTGTGCCGAGCTCACTCCAGCCTGAGCCACTGGGATGGCCTTCCAATGACTCTTCCTGTCTAGTCTCCATATCCACAAACCCACCTTCTATCTATCCTCACTGTCAGGTTAATCTCCCCAAAATTCTTCTCTTATCCTAGCACTCTTTTACTTAAAAATCCTTCAGGAACCCATCATCAACCTGGCATTTAAGGTCGTACAAAATCACATTCCACCCTACCTTTTACGCCTTATTTCCCCGACTTTCCCACCTAACTCTTCACACTGTATCAACTGACCTACACACTGTCCCTAAAACCAACCTCAGACTTCTCGCTCTCTGACTTTGATTATGCTGTTTCCCTCCACTGGAGACACCTTCCTCATTTGCTGCCACTGCTACCTATCCAAGTTAATCAAGGCCCATTTCAGATCTCTCTTCCTCTGCGCAGTTCCTTGGTGTGTGTATGTGCGTGCACTATTAATGTACACATATATTAAATAACATATAACATTCAATAAATTAAATATTACATTACCCATGGAATAACACATGTAAAAGCACTTTAAATTTTGTTAAACATATATAAATGTCAAGTAATAATACTGAAGTGATACCATGTCCACAAATACCATACAGATGCAGGGAGAGAAGGGATCTTATTTCATTCACTTCACATACTCCCAGAGTACTAGGTTACAATACCTACCCAGTTGGTATTCCAAAACCACTGGATGAACGAACAAAACAAATGGATTTAGTCTGTAAGTGCCCTAATAGCCACGCTGGATTCTCTCAGTTGCACAAGCAGTAATCAACAATATCCAGACAGCCCGCTGGTCACGCTCACCCCTCCCAGAATGGCTTTGACGACCTCCTCGCTACTGGAGACACCCCATAACAGGGTACAGGCTGCCGCTCCCATCTCTGTACAATACTCTGCCTGCTGCAGGAGCTGCTGCTTCGCTTCATTCAGCTGCTGTCGAAGAGTCAGTTTCTCCTGAAATCAAAACAAAATAAAATCAGAAAAACGAATAGCATTCGACCTTGAAATATCTCTATTGTGTTTCCTCTTTCAAAGCTATTTTGCGTGTGTGTGTGTGTGTGTGTGTGTGTGTGTGGAAGATCAGCCCTGAGCTAACATCTGATGCCAACCTTCCTCTTTTTGCTGAGGAAGACTGGCCCTGGGCTAACATCCGTGTCCATCTTCCTCTACTTTTATATGGGATGCCACCACAGCATGGCTTGCCAAGTGATGCACTGGTCTGCGTCCGGGATGCAAACCTTCAAACCCAGGCCACCGAAGCAGAGTACGCCAACTTAACTGCTATGCCACCGGGCAGGCCCCCTCAAAGCTATTTTTAAAGAAATGCACGCAGAATTATAGACAGTAGTTGGCAAATGAAAACTAGTCGCTACAGAGCCATAATCCATATTTTTAAAAAAACTTCATGGGCAAAAATAACACCATTAGGAAAGACCCTACTACTGCATTAGAGTTTATAAATGCCACCAAAGGCCTGAATTCGTCGTCTTTAAGTAAAATGAAAACATGAGGCATCTCAGGTGTGAGCTGACTATACCCAGGACCAGCACCGACTGGGACACCTGAACAGAGTAGCAACCTAACAGCTGTCCACACATAGAGCAACATTTCTAATAAAGGAGCCGCTGCCTCCAACGGCTCACTCCATTGTAAAAATGCCATATGACACAGCTAAGACCAGGCAGGAAAGATGTAAGCAGAGGCAGGAGAGGAGTGTGAAGGAAGGGCCTCCCAGGCGTGCCCTGGCACAGCAAGCTAAGCACCAGTGTAACAAGCAGAGGGAGACCAGGAGAGATTTCTCACTCTCTGCCCACCAGCGGGCTTCTGACGAAACGTAGGGGGCAAGTCTCAGCCAGGGCTCTTAACGAGTGAACTGTCCTCCCAATGTCCCCTCTGACCACAAGCACTCCTAAAGGTTCACCTTCAGGTGGGTCTTGGGTGATGTTGAGCTTCTGCCCCCCACAACCACCACCACCAGTTTCACTATTCCTTATTACCCAAAATTCCCTTAAAAGATGAGAGCATTTCCTTACTTAATAAAACTCAAAAATATAAAAACTGAGTTGGGATCATTTATACCAAAGTATAGTTCACTCAAGAGCCCACAAAGTTAAGTATATTAGACGTTTCAGGTTTTTCTTTTAGCGAGGTGAGTGCAGGACAATTGGAATAGAGGGGCTGTTCGCCTAGGGGAGGAAAGGGAGCAGTGGGCCACAAATCAAACTTCGTTGACTTCATAACTTGGCCCAGGGTGGCCATTTATGTCTACCTGGGGACGATGCATTTGCGATACAAAGCTTCATACACATACATTCATACATATATTCACACTTACTTTAGGAGAAAAATGGTCAGTGAGCCTATGACACAAGCTAACACTGCTTTATGTGATTTATAAACCCTGTGTTTTTAATATCTGACTTCATCATAACAGCAGTCTGGATTCCTAGATTCGTTCTTCAGCTGTCTGTAGCTGAACCACTCAAGTGGGGGTGACATATGCAAAAGCTGTATCACAACATATCCTTTCAGAATTCTAGCGTTTCTCACATTTGCAGCCGTCTGTATTCCAATTAGTCTGGTTATGGTGGTTCTTCTGCAAGATCACACAAGAACTGCTGAGAACGACCAGACAGGGCTGTCTTCACTATGGTCACGTACGGTGGTTGTAAGCAGATATGCTCCGACACAGGGCTGCACAGACAGTATAATAATAACAAGAGAAACTCAAAGAAAATAATTCCATTCACAATAACATCAAAATAAGAAAATACTTAGGAACAAATTTAAGAAAAGGAGTTCAAGACCAGTACAGTAAAAACTACAAAGCAGTACTGAGAAAAAGTAAAGAAGATCTAAACAAATGGAAAGATATATACTATGTTCACAGACTGGAAGACTCGATTTTGGTAAGATGGTAATTCTCCCCAAAGTGATCAAGAGATTGAATGCAATCCCTACCAAAACTTCAGCAGGCTTTTCTGTACAAATTGATCATCTGATTCTAAAATTCATATGGAAATGCAAAAAAAAGTTTGAGAAAGAAAAACAATGTGAGAGGACTGACATTACCTAATTTCAAAAACAAAAAACAAAAACTTACTATAAAGCTAAGAAATCAAGCCAGTGTAGTATCTGGCATAAGGATATACATATAGATCAGTGAAATACTGATATTTATGGCAATCGCTTTTAACAAAGGTGCCAAGGCAATTCAATGGAAAAAGTACAGTCTTTTCAACAAATGACGCTGAAACAACTAGACAATCATATGCCAAAAAAATTAACTAAAAATGAGTCATAGGCCTAAATGTAATATTTCTAGAAGAAAACCTCTGTGACCTTGGGTTAGGCAAATATTTCTTAGATATCACAACAAAATCATGAACTATTGACAAAATAATTAAACTTAATCAAAATTTAAAACTTTTACTCTTCAAAAGACACCATTAAGGAAGTGAAAGGACAAGTCATGGACTAAAAGAAAATATTTCTAAGTCAAATATCTAAAAAAGGACTTGTATGCAGAATATATAAAGAACTCTTACAACTCAAAAATGAAACAAAAATTCAATTAAAAATAAGCAAAAGAGGCCAGCCCTGTGGCGCAGTGGTTGAGTTCGGCGCGCTCTGCTTCGGCAACCCAGGTTCACAGGTTCAGATCCCGGGAACGGACCTCTACCACTGCCAGCCACACTGTGGTAGCTACCCACATACAAAGTGGAGGAAGCGTGGCACAGATGTTAGCTCAGGGCTAATCTTCCTCAGCAAAAGAATAAAATAAAATAAGCAAAAGATATGAATTCAGAATTTAACAAAAAAAATACACAAATGAATAATAAGCACATGAAAAGATGTTCAACATAGTCATAAGTAAAATGCAAATTAAAACCCCAATGAGATACCATTACACACCCACTAAAATGGCTATAATCCAAAGAACCAACAATACCAAGTGTTCATAAGAATATGGGAAAAGTAGGACCTGCACACATTGCTGAGTGGAATGTAGAATGGTACACTCACTTTGGTAAACAGTTTGGCAGTTTCTCAGAAAGTTAACCATATCCTCACGACAAGACCCAGCAATTTCACTCCTAGGTATCTCACCAAGAAAAATTAAAATATATGTCCACACAAAGACTTGTACATGAATGTTCACAGCAGCATTATTCTTAATAGTCACAAACTGGAAATAACCTAAAAGTCCATCAACTGGTGAGTGGATAAAGTGGTATATCCATCCAATGGAATATTATTCAGCAATAGAAAAGAACAAACAATTGATGTATGCTAACATGAATGAACTTCCAAAGCATTACACCAGGCACAAAAGACTACACATTGTATAATTCTGTTTCTACAAAATATTCAGAAAAGGCAAAACTATAGAGACAGAAAGAAGATCAATAGTTGCCTAGGCTGGGCAGGAGAGTAAGGACTAACTATAAACTGACATGTAATGGAAATGTTCTAAAAACTGGACAAAATCCAGCACTTACCCACAACAAACATTCTCAGCAAACTAAGAAAAGGGGGAACTTCCTCAACTCGATAAAAAACATCTACAAAAACCTACAGCTAAAATCACATTTATGTTTATAATAAGGGAGGCTATGCACGAGTGGGAGCAAGGAGTATATGGGAAATCACTGTACTTTCCACTCGATTTTTCTGTGAACCTAAAACTTCTCTAGGGCCGGCCCCGTGGCTTAGTGGTTAAGTGCGTGCACTCCGCTGCTGGCGGCCAGGGTTCAGATCCCGGGCTCGCACCAACACACAGCTTCTCCGGCCATGCTGAGGCTGCGTCCCACATACAGCAACTAGAAGGATGTGCAACTATGACATACAACTATCTACTCGTGCTTTGGGGGAAAATAAATAAATAAATAAAAACTTCTCTAAAAAACGAAGTCTATTTTTTTAAAAATCATGCTGAATGGTGAAAGACTGAGGGCTTTCCCTCAAGATCAGGAACGAGGTAATAATGTCCACTCTCATCACTCTTATTCCTCCATAGTGCTGGATGTTCCAGACAGCGCAATAAGGCAAGGGAAAGAAAGAAAAGGTACACAGAGCAGAAGGAAGAAACAGAACTGTCCCTGTTTGCAGATGACATGATTGTCTACATAAAAAAATCTCAAAGAATCTAAAAAAATTCCTAGAACTCATAAGTGAGTTCATCCAGGTCACAAGATATAAGATCAACACACAAAAAGCAATTGCATTTCTAAATATTAACAACAAAAAAGTGAAAACCAAAATTAAAAATACAACACCATTTACAACTGCTCCGAAGAAAACAAAATACTTGGGTAAAATCTAACAAAACATATTTAGGATCCGTATGCTGAAAATTACCAACTGCTGATGAAAGAAATTAAAGACAACCTAAATAAATGAAAAGACATACTTTATTTATGGATTGAAAGACTCAACATAGGAAAGAAATCAATGCTCCCCAAATTGATCTGCAGATATAACACAATTCCCATAAAAATCCCAGCAAAAATCCCAGTAGACATAGATGACCTTATTAAAAAATTTATACAGAAAAGTAAAGGATGTGCTCAGACAATTTTGAAAAGGAAGAATTAAACAGGAAGAATCTCTTTATTCAACGTCAGGGCTTACTGCACAGCCACAGTAATCAGGACAGTGAAGTGCTGGTGGAAGAAGGATCAATGCACTAGAGCGGAGAACCCAGAACAGACCTAGGCAAATGCACCCAACTGATTATTGACCACGATGCAACAGCAATCCAGAGGAGGAAAGACAGTCTTTTCAACCGATGGCGCTGGAGCAACTGGACAACCATAGGCAAAAAAAGAAAAAATCAACTTCAATCTAAGTTCACACCTTATACAAAAATTAACTCAAAATGGATCATGAACTTAAATATAAAATATAAAAACTGTTAGAAAAAACAAAAAACAGGAGAAAATCTTTGGGACCTAGGGCTAGGGGAAAAGTTCTTAGAGATAACACTGAAAGTATGATCCATGAAAGGAAATATCAACAAATTAGACTTCATCCCAATTTAAAACTTTTGCTCTGTGAAAAAGATGAAAAGACAAACTACAGGCTGGAAGAAAATATGTGTAAACCACATATCCAATAAAGGACTTTTATCTAGAATATATCTAGAACTCTTTAAATTCAACAGTAAAAAAAAAAGAAAGAATCCAATTAGAAAATGGGCAAAAGACACAAACAGATATTTTACAGAAGAGGATATAAAGACAGAAAACAAGAACATGCAAAGATGTTCAACACCATTAGCCATTAGGGAAATGCAAATTAAAACCACAACACATCAATCAAAATGGCTAAAATAAAAAATAGTAGTAACACCAAATGCTAGTTAGGATGTGGAAGAAGTGAATCACTCACATACTGCTGGTGGGAATGTAAAATGGTGCAGCCACTCTGGAAAATAACCTGGCAATTTCTCACAAAACTAAACATGCACTTACCACCTGACCCAGTTAACTGCACTCTTAGGCATTTATCCCAGAGAAATGAAAACATACATTCCCACAAAAACCTATACACGGATGTTCATAAGACCTTTCTTCATAACAGCAGAGAACTGAAAACAACCCAAACGTCCCTCAACAGGGGAACAGTTAAACAAACTGTGATATTTCCATACAGTGGAATACTACACAGGAATACAAAGGAACAAACTATTGACAGGTGCAACGACTTGGATGGATCTGAGTGAAAAAGCCAATATCAAAAGGTTATATACTAAGCTCTACACCTCTTTTAGAATTTGTCTAGCAGGTTTTCGGGTCCTCACCAGAAGACCCCCCGAACAGAACACAAAAAAGGTTATATATTGAATTATTCCATTTTTATGACATTCTTGAAGTAACAAAATCACAGAGATTAGTGTGTGGCAATACGTTAGTGGTTGCCAGGAGGCAGGCAAAGGCAGAGAGACAGGGTGGGTATGGCTGTAACGGGGTAGCGCTACAAGGAGATCTCTGCAGCCAGGGACAGTTCTGTATCTGGAGTGTGGTGGTGGTGGTTACGTGAATCCACACACGTGACAAACTTGCACAGACCTATGCACACACACACACAGATGAGTATAGGTGAAACTGGTGAAACCCGAGTGTGCTCTGTGGATTGGACCAATGTCAATTCCCTGGCTCTTACCTGGTACTATAGTTACACAGGATGCTACCCCTGGGGGAAACAGGGTAAAGGGTATAGGGGACTTCCCTGGACTTTCTGCAACTTCCTCTGAATCTATAATTATTTAAAAAAAAATTTAACCAAAAAACCAACCGGATTGGGGCGATAGTTGTACAAGTGCATAAGTTCACTAAAAACTATCAAACTATACTCTTACAACACATGAATTTTGTGATATACAAAACATACCTCAATAAAGCCGCTTTTAAAAAAGAAACAATAATCAAATTGATATATTTACTTATTTAAAGTGAATACTCATACATAACAGAGTTATCAAGCATAAAACTTAAGATTTCTTCAAAATCTTTCTGTAGTTCATTTCTGATTTTAACTGAACTATACTATCAGTTAATTTCTCTTTAAAAAGTTTCTGAAATAATATACATTTTGCAAAAACTTCCCTTTTATTATCACAAAAGTAGTAACTCTTTCCTGACAAATTACAAATATAGATAACAAAAAAATTGGCAGTCCATATGTAAGTTAGTTTACTGATAATGAAAGTGGCATGCATTAAAAAAACAACACAGGGGCCGGCAGAGTGGCATAGTGATAAAATTTGCGTGCTCCACTTTGGTGGCCTGGGATTTGCCCGTTCGGATCCTGGGTGTGGACTACGCACCACTCATCAAGCCATGCTGTGGCAGCATCCTACATACAAAATAGAGGAAGATGGGCACAGATGTTAGCTCAGGGCCAATCTTCCTCACCAAAAAAAAAAAGAAAGAAAGAAAGAAAACAACACAGAGAGAGGATGAAACCACAGGTAAGCAACTGAAATGCTTGCTCCTCAAAGAGAAGACAGAGGAACTCTGCACATTATCTGTGACATGGGAATGCCAGGGCAGGCACTACAAAAGCTCAGCCAGTAGATACGTTGCGGAAAGCCTCATGTAACCTTACAGTAACAGCATAGCCCTTCAAAAAGTAATTCAGATCTCTCCAACAGTTTCACCTACACCACGAAAGCTGGGCTCTTTCTTCTCTCGAGTTCAAAGGTTGCTATTGCCGGCCTCTCCTGGCCAGCCCCTTAGATCACATCAAGGCCCACTGGGCGTCCTCCATTGATCTGAGTCAATCATTGCTGAGGACACATCTCGACTGAGGTCATGAACCAAGCTTTCCTTGTTCCAGCAGCAATTCTCCAGGGGGTGTAGGGGCTGCTGCTCATCCAGCACACTTCTTTACGATTTTGAGTCCATACTTTGTTTTCTGATCTTTTCTTACATACTGGAGTCAGTAACTGCTGCCTTTTCCTCATGACTTTTACCCACACTGAGGTACTTACTAGCAAGACTCTAATTTAGGATCTAGTCCCTGGATGCTTTCCTGGTTCCTCAACTCTAAAATAAGCTTACAGAGTCCAGCCTCATGATCTGTACAGACCTGGAAAGAGACCACAGAAAAGGTTACCGAAAAGGCAGCTTCCAGTTCTCTACAGCGAGAAGAGACAGGGCTTTGTTACAGCAAACTTGCAGGGGCTCCCATCTGTGTTAAATTGGCAAGACTATTAAACAGGAAACTTAGCTGGAAATGGGAAACAGTTTAATCTAAAATATTCCCACATTTAAAAAAAATAAAATATTCTCACATTTTAACAAAAAAGTCCAAGTGTCAGGGCAATAACACACTGGTAATCTGACACTACCTTACCACGGCCATTTCATTGTCTACACTGGCACTTTACCAGAATGACTTACTTTTAAGCATTACATCTAAAATCCCAGCAAAACATGCATTTTTCCTATGCTTATCAATTAAATAAAACAAAACCAAGAAATCTAAGATTCTGCCCTATTTAAGCTTCAACCTTAACAAGCATGTCTAAGCAATTTAAGGAAGTATTGACCCAATGGACTGTATTGTTAACATTTATCAAATTCCTTCTTGCCTCTTGGTCAACTTCTTACAGACCATGAAATGTTTAGACCCAGAAAAATTAACTACACTGCCATCTGAGTTTATAAAGATCTAAAGAGAATATGACAAAGCTGAAATTTCAACTTTCAGTATGTGATGCTCATCCTAAGTCAAGTTTTGAGACTAAAACTCTTTCCCTAACCTTTTCTACTTGCTCAGTAGAAAAGTCTATACAATATCCACCAGTTTTGGAAAACCCCTATTGCAGCAACATTCAGAATTCCTTCACATGAGGAGGTAGTATGAAACACAGCTTAGCACACAGGCAGCAGGGCCTTGGACCAGAACCTACCATTCCTGTAAGTTAACTGTACCTGCTGCCCCAGCTGTGCTGGCATAAGCGCGTGAGCTGCACGGGCAGCTGCTGACAACCTGCCAGCACACAGTCAACAACACACACGAGCTGCTACTGCTCGCACTCTTTCTGTTCTACTATTCAAAAATAAAAATGCCCCTAATGTTTCTGTTTAATATATCTACCTCATTGTGCGCATGATTGTTTTTTCAAGATCCTTATTATATTATGAATTTTAATGTTTTGGAATGGCCTTTTAAACATAAAAATTAACAGTAAATGACTATTAAAAGGCACCAAGTAAATAATCTCCACATTAAATGGTTATAAAATCCAAATGTTCAACTATTTCCAACCCATTCAGAACACACACGTTTAAAAATACAATCTCTTGAGGCTTGAGGGCTAGAAAGACCATGAGTTAACACCACTTGGTGGACACCGCCACGAGGCTGGCGTTACAGCAGCAGTCTGTGAGCACCGTACCTTCTTCTCTCTCATGCTGTCGGCTTGCACCGTCTCCAGGCGGGCTTTGAAGTGCTCACAGTCCATTCTCAGTTGCTCTAATTCTTGCTCTTTCCTTTCCAGTTCTAGAAGAAAGAGACGTAAAAACACTCAATATTTCAAATCACTAATGTCTCCTAAGCATCCATGTTGCCTAATCTTCTCTTAGGAAAACGTGTACTGATTTCTTAGATAGGATTCTTCACACAACCAGTCCTTGAATAACCAATATTCTAAAAGTCCTGCTTTTTGAGTTTTTATCAATTTTCAGACCATAGCAGAAAGCACGTTTTTTGTTGTTTTCTGTTTTCTGTTTTTAAGACCTCATTTTACTGCCAGTCTTGTACTGAAGGCTTTAAGAAAGTATGTTATTTAAAGGACTGAAGGCAGGGCTGAGAAGCCCAACTGTCTCATGGCACAGACTTGTATCTGCTCCATAAAAAGCAGAAGGCAGCTCAGCGAGGAGACGGTGCCAGCCGGGGCTGATTCACGGAGCTAGCCTCACCAACTGGCAGACTGACTCAATAGGAACAGCTGCAGTAGTAGTCAATGGAGGAGGGATGGAGACAAGAAAAGGCCATAGGGAAAGGTGGGAACTACGGAATACTTCTTCTCCACCATATCCGTTTACATGATGATTCAAATGGCAAAAAAAAAATCTCAAAAGACCTCCTCGTTAATAAATCTGAAATCAAAAGTATTATCAACTTTAAATGAAAAATATGCTGCACAAATACTGACATTCAAAAAGCAAAGAAATACACAATTTAAAATTTTAAGTGCCTTGATTTCAAGGGCTAAGAAATTGTAAGCTAAAATATATCAAGATTTGAGGGGGGACATGTGGCTTAGAGCTAATGGTGTAATTTCTCTGATTAAAGCAGCAGTGCTTGAGGACAGTAATTCTCAAACTTTAGTGTACATCAGAACCCCCTGGAGGACTTGTTCAAACACAGGCTGCTGGGCCCCATCCTCAGGGATTCTGATTCAGTAGGCCTGAGGTGTGCCTGAGAATCTGCATTTCTAACAAGTTTCCAGGTGAAGCTGATACTGCGGGTCTGGGAACAGACTTTGAGAATGAGTGCTTCAGGGTAACAGCCTGGTCTCTCATCACTAACAAAACAAAATCAACACACAACCAGTGACAGCAGATGAGGGAACCCAGCCACAGGAATGTGAAAGAGCGGAAAAATGGGGGGTGGTGGAAGGCAGCCTGCGGTGAGAGAGCCTCAAGGAGCAGACGCCTGGAAAACGGAACATTACTCCACCCTAGAGGAGAAAAGGCTTACAGACACTTCCTCCAATGAAGTGCAGACAAAAGAGAAGGGGTGCAGCTTTATAACCCACGGGTCTGAGAAGGCGAGGGGAAGCCCAAACAAGAAACGGGGGCGCTGCCAAGAACAACAGGAGCGTCCCAAAAAGCTCTGGAGGAATAGAGGGAGTCTCCAAATTTTTCTGGAGACCCTTTGCCCTAGAAGGAAGATTAGAACTTAAAGCTAAATATTCAGTTAGAGACTATGACACTGGCTAGCAAAGGTTCTCTTAAAATGTGTTTCTTAGAAACTTGGGTGAAGTAACAGGGGACTATTTCTTCTCCCTTAAGCCTAGGTTTTCTTTTCCACTCTTTTACAATGTATTATACCACAACATGACTTTCGCTGAAATTATTTTGTCTCACTAATCCTGGCCATGTAAGAAATCAAAGAGCAATCAAGTGCTATGCTTTGAAAACTACATACTTGCCTTTTGTAACAATGCTAAATGAAAACATATATATTATTTAATACATTATTTATAATTATGCATGAAATATGAACTGCATATAGTCAGACAAAAAGAAACAAAACAAAAAAAGGAACTAAGATGAAATTATCAGTGATGTAAAATTTTTTCTTTGCAGTTAACTTTTAAATTTTTCTCCTATTATTAAACTGTATATTACTCAAACACAGCAAAGAAGATAGGAAATTACATCTTTACAAGCCTTATTATGTGTAAAAATATGTAGGCATTAACCTTGACCACCCAAAAGACTCTTCCACTATGGTAATTTCATCATCTCTCCCTTTATATAGCTGTATCTGACCTTACTCTAAGTTAACATCACAAAGGGAAGGGTTAAAAAGCCCCCCTCTACCACAGGCTACCCTGAAGAAGTCAAGGTCAGCATCAGGGCTGCCACACCCACCCACTCCAGGCTCCAGGAGGCGGCAGTGCCTTTATGCTGGAGGAGGCCACCGCCTTGTGGCCAGCCGGGAACACTGCCGCTGCTGCCGCCTCACAACACTCCCACCTCGCATTTCAACCTGGCCCAGAGCATGCCTGCCATCTAAACCACCACGAGCGCAGGATTCTCATGTTTTGTTTCTGATACGTCCCAAATGCCCAGAACAGTACACGGCACGTGGTAAGCACCTCATATTTGTCACACAAATGAATATCACTTCTTTATACATTCCTTCTGCCAATCCTCGAACAGAGAAAAACACAGCTACTCTGATTATATGTCTCGTTCGTCCAGAACGAGAATATATTACTTTTGTAATTTTTTTAAAAACCAGGGACAGAAAGAACATGGACAGTGAAGGACACATTATACATAGTCAAGACATTATCTTACCCAGCCTCAGAATTAGAACAGGGAAGGGGCTGCCACCCAGCCTGGACTGTATTTCAGCTGCTAATCGTGAGCATCACAACGAAGGAAAAATCTCCACTGAACTGTTAACTGAATGAAACGGTGGCCTAGAGGGACTATCAATATGTAGAAACAATCTAAATCACGGGCATTTCAATATCTAGATATCTCCTGAAATTTACAATCTTTTTTGATAGTTTTAATAACATGAGAATGACTATATCTCTTAATGCTCAACTCATTCACAGGAAGGGTACAGAGAACTATGTGCAGGCAGGATATAGACAGCTATAAATGAAAAGCTGGGTTTCTAAAATATTAACCAAAGAAATTTAAATTATATAAAAGGGATCAATTTCTCCACCCCTTTACCATCTGGCATGTTTATAATATAATAAATTATCAGTTCTTTCAAATTAATATGAAAATGTTTTTTATCAAAAATATCTAAAGAAAGAGTCTTAAATCCAAAATAAAGGCTTTTTAATAGCCATAATCTTTTACTTTATCACTCTCTAATAGGTTTATTTATTTTTATTTATTTTTTCTTTGTGAGGAAGACCACCCCTGAGCTAACATCCAATGCCAATCCTCCTCTTTTTTTGCTGAGGAAGACTGGCCCTGGGCTAACATCCGTGCCCATCTTCCTTTACTTTATATGGGACACCACCACAGCGTGGCTTAACAAGCGGTGCGTTGGTGCGCGCCTGAGATCTGAACCAGCGAACTCCGGGCTGCCGCAGAGGAGTGCGTGCACTTAACCGCTTGCGTCACCAGGCTGGCCCCTCTAATAGGTTTAGAAAAGAATTTAGAATTAGCTATTGATGGATTCCATCTTTACTTTGAGCTGAGATTTAGAGGGTGTATTAGTTTCTCAGATCTGCCATCAAGTACCACAAGCTGGGTGGCTTAGAACAACAGAAATGTATTCTCTCACAGTTCTGGAGGCCACAAGTCCGATGTCAAGGTGTTGGCAGGGCCGTGCTCCCTCTGGAACCTGGGAAGGAAGGATCCTTCCCTGCCTCTTCTACCTTCCGGTAGCCCCAGACACTCTCTGGTTTGCGGCAGCATAATTCCAACCTGCCTCTGCCTTCACTTGGCCTTCTCTCTGTGTCTCTTCACATTATCTTCCCTCTGTGTCTGTCTGCGTCCAGATCTCCCCCTTTTACAAGGACATCAGTCACACTGGATTAGGGCCCACACTGAAGACCTCATTTTAACTTAATCAGCCTGTCAAAAATCATAAGTTGAAAAAGTGAAAAAATAAGAATACTCTAGGATTCATAAAACAAAACAAACAAAAAAAAACCTCAGTTAAAGAGCTTAAAGGCATTTGAAATCCTAGTGCCCAATCTAAGCAAGCCAAACAACACTTTAATTAGCTGTCAAATTTTTAAAACAAACCAAAGGGGTGGAGGAGGAGAGTTGGAAGCAGAACACGGAAATAGCATTTTTTTTCCTGCACTGCCAAAAATCTGCTTCCAAAACCACTTTTTCTAACATAAAGGCCATTGGAGTAATCTTTGATAAGATGAAGAAAATGTGTTACTAACAGGAATGTGTCCTCTACTGGCACTGCCAATGTACTTGGCACTACCTTGTATCACTAACTTTTGTCTTCTGCATATTGGAGCTCCTCAGTCTTCCTGTAAATCATCAAGGAAAGGACTGGAACCGATCCTTTTTATGGAACCCCCACACTACCTAGCACTGTTTGACAAATATCAGACATATAATAAATACCTAGCTGATTGATTTATTGACTAACTTCACTGAAAGACCTGAAGGTAAATACTATCACAAAAAACGATCTCTCAGCAAGAGATCAATCTTGCTGAACTCAAATGAATTCTGTTAAAGTATTTCCCAAACCAAAGAGTCAGGGCATTTTGCTTCTCATTTATTGGCATACAAATACAATGTCAACGACCGGGTGGTCAGGAGCGATACACTCAAACAACATACATCTCCACCCACCGCCGGCCCCTCCTCTGTCCACAAGCCCTGCAAGTCTATTCACTTCTTGCCCAGTCCCTCGTACTCTGAACAGTCCCCACATGCCCTTCAGATCCACTCTCCACCCTGCTCTGTGCCCCCAAGAGGTTGACGTCAACGTCCACAGCAGCCAGCCTCCTGTGCTTATGGCTTCCTGTTGGAGACAGACAGCGGCAGGCTCCACAGGAAACAAGGACACGTGGAGACAAGCTCGGACATCTACTTCCCCGCTGCATCATCCCCACTGGGCTTCAAGTCAGAAGTACCTCCAGTTGAGGCCACGGTCCTGTCGAGCACCCACCCTCTTGCATGTCCGGGAGCCCTCGGGGAGCCCATGGTGCCCCACTCTGCTAGTGCCCAGGGCTCCGCTACCCTCATGCGTTCCCTGATCCCTGCCCACACCTGTGCCATCATCCCTTCAGCATACTCTTTGTCTGCCCCTTTTGTTTCCTG